AAGTACTAAGCGAAATTTTATATTTTTCATAAGATTTTAAAACAAGAACTTGATGCCAGAAATACACTTGGAAATGAGGACAGCTTGCCACTGGCAAGCTCTGCTTAAACCTGTTACATGTACACATTGAAAGTGTATCCAACACCTTCATGTATTTCCCATCAGATAAAATGTAGAGACAAAAAAAGTCAGCAAAAGTTAGAGCTAAATTGCATCAATCTTTTACTGTAGCAAATTCAGGGAGTGACTAGCTTGAAGCAATACATGGTGAAGTGGAAATCATTTTTCTCCAGTTCTACCTACTTTAGACACTATCAATTCCATCCTTAGGAACAAAGAGGGAATTTGGGTGGGAGTTGGGAAAGGAGAAGCTGGAATTGCTTAGGAAGATATACATTTAATTACTCGCTCTTAGGAGATGTTTAGTGAAGGGCTTTTTTTTAAAGAACAATCTGAATCGGCCGTTACAGTTTGTATTTATTTTTTTTAATGAAGGGAAAGCAAATGGTGTCCAAGGTAAAGTGATTTTTTTGGACTTGTTCTCTTCATTTACACCAATAGGCCTGTCTAGGAATTATGACAAATTTATACAGACCTTTAATCAGTCAAGAGTTGGCAAAGAAACTGACATCCATAGAGTCACACATTATGTAGAACGGATCCTTTTACCTCAATGGTCAACATTGCTGTAAGTTGTGGGTAAGAGTAAGCGGCTGAACATTTCACAAGAAAATGACCTCAACCTCTAGCTCACTGCTGTGGCTCTGAGGCAATTAGTTTTTTCCTTTTCAAAAGGAAGCTGCTGCTTCAGCATCTTCTCCTGGAGCTCCTGGCACCATTTCAGGCCATGTGTCAGGGGAACCCTTGATCACATCACAATGACGGAAGCCAAGTGCTGGCCTGCAAGAATTGAGGACTGTTTGTTCACAGAAGATCCTGAGCAGAAACACGGGTGTCACATAGTTCAAGGGGGCCTTGAAGGAAACTGATGCTGCTGTAGGAGGGGACTTCCAAAGGCTCAAGTTATTTCTCAGTTGCTGTTCCAGAGCCCTCTCCTGGCTTTTATGGAATTTGGCCAAGAGTTGTTGCTTAGACAGTTTCTCCCTGTAGTCCCTTGACTTAGCAAGATTTTGGACGGGAAAATAGAAGAGTTTTCTTATATTTTCAAGTAGTGCCACAGTGACTGCTACTCTCTGGGGAGAAAAGTATTTTATTCATGAATGCAGTATGTGTTCTTGGTAAAACCCCAAATTAAACTAGCTCACTGTTTTTGCCCTGTGAAATGTTGGTGACATTTAGGTGTGTTGTTTGGTGTGCTGACTCAGTTTCCTGGAGGATAGCTGGCAACTCCACATTGAGGCTTTTTTAGTGGGGATGAAAAAGTCAGTTACTTCATATTTTAGAACATTTGGGGTTAAAATTCCTAAAAGTTAAGCTTTAACACTGATCCTGAAAAACTGTGGCTAACCGTATTGCCTATAAACCTAGGAATTTGGAAAAAGTAGTATTCTCAGCTCTATGCTAATATCAACAGTAATTCTTTATTTGAGCAACAGTTTTATAGAACAAACTGTTCTTTGCTCTGTTGTTAGTAATTATTTTCTTACTTATTGGTATGTAGGTGTGCTCTGGTCTTTTTTTTTTTTTCTTTTTTCATTCCCCAGATTTATACAGTGCATGCAGAAGTAGTTAGAAGTTAAAATACATACACAATAAAGGTGTTTAAAAAAATAAAAATAATAAAATAAAATACATACACAGGCCACATTCTTATTGTACTCAAATGCTGATTTTGTCAAAATGACTAATCTATGATTGGGACGTAAAGTAGACCTTCTGAAACAAGCTGTCCCTCTTGTCGCTGTACAGCCTTCTTAAGAGCAAGTCCTGTATTTAAGTACCTAATGTCTTGAGGCATTGAAACTTGACTGAATTACTTCTTCACTATTACAATTAAAAATTAAACACTGGGCTTCCCTGGTGGCGCAGTGGTTGAGAGTCCGCCTGCCGATGCAGGGCACACGAGTTCGTGCCCCGGTCCGGGAAGATCCCACATGCCGCGGAGCGGCTGGGCCCGTGAGCCATGGCCGCTGAGCCTGTGCGTCCGGAGCCTGCGCAACGGGAGAGGCCCCAGCAGTGAGAGGCCCGCGTACGGCAAAAAAAAAAAAAAAAAAAAAATTAAACACTGAAGTGTAATACGTGGTGCCACATCCTGCTAGGTCCAAGGCCTATATTTCTGAAAAGCTTTGGGGAGTTGGTGAAGATGGGAGGGGGACTGGGAAGTCCCCCTGGGGCTCAGACTTTGGAAAAGTTGGAGAGCAGGGGAGAGGAACACGGAACACCAAGCCTTTGAGGTGTGGAGAGGGGATTCCTGGCTTCTAGATATAACCAGTGACTGGAAAGATGGCAGTGAACAAATCCTAGATACAATGGTCATGCATCTTTAATCCATTGGATGAGCTAACTATGGGTAGCCCAAATCAAATCACCTAAAATAAGTTAATTTCCTCTTAAAATTCCTACATCCTTATTTTATACCTTGGAAGAAAAAAATGCCAAAATAAAACCGTATAGTACATGTACTTCCATAACAGCTAGGTAATGCTATAGTTGCATATGGAAGATATTAAGTAAAATGAAAATGTGTTATGGTCATAGGCTTAATTATTATTTGTGATCTTCAGGGTATGGGATTACAAGGAACTTTCTGCATTACATCTTTGTGTAATGTTTCAAATTTTATAACAAGCATGTTCTAGTTTTATATACTTAATCAGGGAAAGGCTATACAGATAAAATACTTTATACTTACGATTTAAGATTATCTTTAAGGCTTTTCCTTTTGTTGGGGGAAAAGCTCCAATCACACTTTAATTCACCTGGCAAGGTTAGGTAGTTGTTGTTCCCCAAAAGTATATATTTACAGAGATTGGTGCAGGAAAAAAAAAAGTGGAATAAAAGAGGCAATTTTTAACCTAGAGTTCCCAAAGTGAATAGAAAACAGTTCAAGAATCTCTGATAATAATAAGCCACATGGCCCATGTAACAAATACTTTGAAAGTTATTCTAACTTTTACAAATGTTATATAAAAACCTATCTGGAAAATCCCAGGAGCCCGAGATTCAGTCCATGAAATTTTTTGTTGTGCCACTCATCATTTATGGAGTCTAAATTTCAAGGGCAGAATTTCTTCTTCAATACCTGTATATTCGAAGACCAAGGAAAAGGATCTCACCAACTTCATGTAAGCTTTTCAGTGTATTCTTTCTAATTGACAGTAACAAAGTTTCATAAGATGGGCTCTTGGGAGTTTGGATGTTTTCCCTCCTCTAACAGGTTCACTTACCTGCACACTAATATAGTGAAGTTCTCTGCAATTGATCCCTTACTGTAGACCTCCCCCAGGGTCAAATTTTGTAAATAGAACCTGCTTCCATACGCTGTCTTTGGATGTGGTCTTTCCATTTTCTCACGTTTGTAGTTTTTCCTGTGCACGGTGGGTAGAAACACTCTTCCAGACTCTTCCCATTGGCATCGAAATACCATCCCGGTCCCTGATTTGCAATTCCACTGACGAAGGAAGCATGTATGCAGGACGGGCGTAAATTGCCCATACGGCGTGCTGCATTCACATTGCTCTTCCTTTACTGTAACTCTTAGACAATTCTGAATGTGAAAACACAACATATTGCCAAATCTGTGAATTCTAAGGCGTTCATATCCACAACATTGTATGTTTTTGTTTGCTTGCTTATGTCCATCCCGAAATTTAGACGTATGGTTCTTAGCAGAGGCTGGGCTGGGAACTGAGGGTCTGGTCTTAATAGAAATACTTTTGATTGCACAACCACCCTGTCCTCTTGAAGTAGGTAAATCCTAAACCCTCAGAAACGAAGCCTCAGAAACACTAAAACCCAAACCCACACAAACGGTTGCGCGGGTCCTAAATAACCATCTTTTGCCGCCCGTCGGGCTCTCCGGCGAAAGCTCGCAGGAAGCACGGGACAGTGGAGACGCGGAGGCTCGGGCCGTCTGGGCAACCGGGAGGGCCTCGGCTCGGCTGGGCGCGCGGGGTCCCCGCGGGGCAGGTGCGCCGTCGCGCGCGCGTGCGCCCCAGGGCCCGCCTGAGCCCCGCGGCGGGCGCGACCCCGGGCGGCGGGCGAGCCGGCGGCGGGTGCTCCACGCCGGGTTTTCCGCCGCTCCCCTCGCCCCGGCCCCCGGCAGCAGCACCAACACACACTCTAGCGCCCGCGCCTCCCCAGCCGGGCTTCGGAGCGAGCGGCGCGGGGCCGCGCGGGGTGATGCTTAGGCGAGGCGGTGGGGCGGCGGGGGCCCCTGGCGGGCCGTGGCTCCGGGCGATCTCGGCGTGAGAGAGCCGAGGAGGAGCCGGGCGGCGCCAAGGGCCGTGCGGGGCGCTAGGGGTAGTGTTCCCGGAAAGCCGCGGCGATGGAGCCGCGCTGCGCCCGCCGCCGGAGGAGTTGAAAAAGAAAACAGGAAACGTGGTGGCTGCGCACCCGGCCGCGGCTGATTCATTCGCTTTGAGTGAAGGCTCGGCAGGAGGGGCGGGCGCGGGGCCGCGGCTCGGGGCCGGGCGCCGCGCAGATCGCGCCGTGGACCAGACGCTCCCTCCGCGGGGCGGGCTCCCGGGCGCGTGCGCCATCCCCTTCGCCGTCCTCCGGCACCAGGACTTCTTCAAAGTCGCATCTTGAGGGTTTTGGTCCGTGTAGAAGTTGGCTTGCCGCACTTGGCGCGCCCTTCCTGGACGCCGAACAGAGACGCCAAGCTGGAGAGGGCGTGCGTTCCCGAGACCGGCCGCACCGTTAGCAGAGCCCCGGCCCCCGTCGCGGTGCCCGGCTCGTCAATATGAAGGAGCAGCCCTCATGTGCGGGCACCGGGCATCCGAGCATGACGGGGTACGGCAGGATGGCCCCCTTTGAACTCGCCGGCGGCCCTGTGAAGCGCTTGAGAACTGAGTGCCCCTTTCCCTATCTCTTCGCAGAGGAGGCCTACCAGAAACTGGCCAGCGAGACCCTGGAGGAGCTGGACTGGTGTCTGGACCAGCTAGAGACCCTGCAGACCAGGCACTCCGTCAGTGAGATGGCCTCCAACAAGGTAAGCCCCGGCTCGGCTCTCACCGAGGCTCCTAGGCTGCTGATTCCCACGCTGGTGAAGCCACCAGTCCCCGTGGCCCGGGGAAATACATACAGGGGTTTGTCACACTCACTGCATTTTGGCTCCCTTAGAAGGAGGTTCCTGATGCCATGCCTTCCCTCTCTCTTCTATTCACTCCAGAGAAATTAAACATATTGCAAAAGCAACTTTGACATAGTTTGACTGCAGTACCCCCAAGGCACTGTTTGTGTGTGTGTGTGTGTGTGTGTGTGTTTGCAGGGGGTACTTCTAAGTGACACTTTGCCCTTGCAACAGAAACCGAGTCTGGTCTACAGGCAACCCATGTTGTAGGGTATTCTTGGGATTCCCAGTGGAAAATAAGAGTTACTAGAGGTCAGTGCAATCCCTTGGATGTCACCACCTACTGAACTCAAACGCAGAAGAGTTCACTGAACTTGCAACCTTAACCCCCATTTATCTAAGTGTCAGGGTACCCTGTAAGAACTGAGCCTTTATCTTTTTGCTTGGCCATATGTGTCCACAGGGGACGTCAAAGTTAAGGTTCATTGTGATCACTGCCTTTGTTTCCGTGAATCTTGGAGAGAGAGTCCAGTTTTCTGAGGTTATTTAGTTACAGTGATGCTTCAATGGGGCATTTGTGCCGTATGCCAAGGTGCTGGTCTTGGTGGATAGTGGAGGTTTGAGGGCTGAGAATCAACCCTTAGCCTGGCACAGCCTTACAGCAAGGTAGAGTGTTGTCAGTTTTGGTGTATTTTTTGGAATTCCTTGTTTGTTTTTTTTAAAACAATCTTCAGTTATGTAAGGAAATAATTGGGATTATGTATGTTTTTAATGATTGTTTGGCTCAGGGGATAGGAAAGGAGGCATGGGCATGTTGGATGCAGGTGGCTGAGGGATTTAGCCAGTAAGGACTGGTAACTTTGTGTGGTGATTAATAACACTTGCCCCTAAAGATATTTAAAGATCTTTGGCCACCTATTTACACGGTCAGGAAGGTATACCATTTTACTGTTTATCTACATGCACATATTTTTCAGAGAGCTATGCTTTTTTTTTTTAGTTTACTATAGTTTTTATCCCACCTTTTTTTTTCTCATGCAGTTTTAAAAAATATCATCGCATATCACCCACTTGATTGTCTTATCTGTTGACAATGCTTATACAGACAGCATGGTTTTTAAGTAAAAAGTTAGCTTCCAATAAGATAAAAAGGACGCCCCAGTCACTATCTGAGGGCACTAATCTACCCGACAGCACACTGACCTACCCATATGCACACTGATGATCAAATCTGTATTTTTTGTTTCTGTCATTGAAGCCTCATTTCTAAATTTGGTGTGGCTCCGCGTCAAAATGATGGGTTATTACTCTCTCCCTGCCGTGGCATCAGGTGCCATTGTTCTCATCTGGCTAACAAATTCTTAGTTCGTTGATTCATTTTATAACATATAGATTGTTCTTTCATAATTTGGTTCCTAATAGCAGTAGACATATGCTGAGTATCTCCAGTGTCCTAAACGCCGAATGGGACCATTCTGCAGTGGGCCTGAGTTCTTATTCTCTTGTCTGGTTAATTCTGTGTCGTAAAAGGAAAAACCAGAAGGCACCAAAAGATGTGCAAGCCTTTGCTTATATTTTCGAGATGATTTGACAGTACTTTTGCAGCACAATGAACCTCAGCAGCTACAATTACTTTCCCGCTAATCCATACTCTTAATGATGAGACCTCTATTTGAATTTAAAAATTAACATGAAATCTAATCATGTATTGTAAATGACTTCAACTGTCAAGTATTAATTTATCTATACTTTAAGATGAAAAAATAAAACTTGAGGTCACAGTGATTGGTCAAAATGATTTCTTTCTTTTAAGGGCATTTCTTTCTTTTAAAATTCCTGTCTTTTAAAGACAGGGATTTTTTTTTTTTAATCTTTATTGTGAAGGCCCCTCAGACTTTAGGTTAATTTACAGGTTTAGTGTAGGAGGTGAATTTATTTGGTTGAAGTGCAATCTAGGTTAAGTAAGAAAAGCCTTTTTCAAAATATAGTCATTCTAGCTGTGTTTATGTCTTGTAAGATTATTGACATGACACTTTTTTTTTTTTTTTTGCATCTTTATTGGAGTATAATTGCTTTACAATGGTGTGTTAGTTTCTGCTTTATAACAAAGTGAATCAGTTATACATATACATATGTTCCCATATCTCTTCCCTCTTGCATCTCCCTCCCTCCCACCCTCCCTATCCCACCCCTCTAGGTGGTCACAAAGCACCGAGCTGATCTCCCTGTGCTATGTGGCTGCTTCCCACTAGCTATCTATTTTACATTTGGTAGTGTATATATATATGTCCATGACACTCTCTCACTTGACACTTATTTTTAACATTAAAAAATTCAACTCAGCTGAAGCTGTTGATTAAACTTTTCATGTCTAATTCATTCATTTCTTTTTTTTAAAAAACCCATTCATTTCTAAATGAGTGCTAAGCTCCTGTGACTTTTTATAGATGAAAATGGATTAGCATAGAAGGAAAAAGAGCTCTTGGTAAAGGTTGTAAAGTTACCCTTCAGCCAGATAACAAGGGCACAAATAAGTCACATCCACATGAGCTGTAAACTGAGTTGGAGCAGCTGGTCTAAAGGTCCCCAGGAGTGATGCCGAACCTAAGTCTGAACTGGAAATGTGACAACTTGCGTCACATGTCCGCTAGGTTGTCGAGCATCTCTTAAGTGTGAATGAATAATCTGAAACATTGCTTTTGGTTATTAGTCTTATTGCCATCCATTCTTTTCACATGTACTTGTTCGAACCAAACCAGTGTTTCCCTTGAAAAGTCATGAAGTTTTTCTTTGTTTTCTTCTCTTTTTCAGGCTTAAAAAAAAGTACTCTAATAGATTAAAATGACACAATAAAATACTAGTAAGAAATCAGGATTTTTAAGTGATTATGTAGAGAAAATATTTATTATGGAGGTGGATTTGGGTGTTAGGAAGAAGGAAATTGATTCCTCAAACTCATTTAACAAATTGGGTTAATGAATTCTTCATATTTTAAAAAATCTTAATAGAAGGAATCTGAACTATTCGCAGTTTTTAAATGATGCTTTAGAAGCAACTAGATGTATTTCCTGATTGGGATTGTATTGTGCATAATGCTTATTGATGGTATTGAGACAGGAAAATTATTGAATTTTTGGCCACTGCCAACATTGGCTATAATACATGTAGGATGCTTGTACCAAGTAGGTTAAGAGACTCCAGATGGCATTGAGTTTGAGAGGTTAAACCTACAGCATTTAGCCTAATAAGCCCATTAATCTGCCCAAGATTTGTACAGATTTCCTTTGAAACCTCACTGCTAGAGTTAAGAGAGGTTTTGGTGAGGTCTCAAAGCTTTGGAGGCAGACAGACCTGGAAGTTGAATCATGGTTTTGTTCCTTACTAGCTGAGTTACATTAGAGAAACGACAAACTTTTTTTAGCTTCGGTTTCCTTAGCATAAGATGAGCATAATGATATCTATTTCGAAAGGTCAGTGTAAGAATTTGAAAGAATATGTGTAAAATAGTTAGCTAATAAATAGTGTCTGATAGGGACTATACCTGCCATTATTGGTATTATTATTGAAGGTTTAGGTTAAACTTGATTGGTTGCCTACTTGGCTAAAATATTTTTTTTACCATTCAGTTGTCATTTATACTTGATGTTTTAAGTTTCATGGATTTTTATAATACAGTTCTTAATAACTGTCTTTAGTGCACAGTTCTGTATTGTAAAAAATGCTTAAATTATATTTATACTTTTTTTAGTATAATATAGACACAAACATTTTGAAGTTCTAAATAGAAGCTTAATCTTTTCTTAAATTTCAGCTACAGAATTCCAGACAGCTAAATACGTTTTCTCTTTTATTCTAAAACTGAAAAAACAGCACTGATTAATTTTGAGAAAATATTAAATATAATGTGGGATTGGTAGGTACATTTCCATCCTTTTGTACAGGTTTTGCAAAGCTAAAGTAACTTTTTAGACTGTCTTTAAGGCAGAATAGCTTCACAGTGTTTTGGGTTACCTTTCTCTCATAGAAAGTAAACTTGAGGATGTGAGGAGTGCAGGCTAGGATCTAAGCCTCAAGGTTATGCTGTGGAACCCTGTAACTTTATTCTCTTGTGACCTAATAATGCACATTTCACCACATCTTCAATGTAGGTGTGGCGATGTTTGAAGGAGAAAAAATCATCTTGATTTTCCCCCAAAATATACTACTATAAAAATGTATTGTTTCTCCTCTCTAAATTTGGGGCAGTTCCGAGGCTTGGCATTGCTGGAACCTACCATGCTTCAAGCTGAAAGTCTGCCTTGAAGTTAGGATTCAGGCATCCTTCTAAGAGACTTAAGGTTTTTCTTTAGTTCTTTCTAGACGTACGTAGGTAGGCCAGCTTTGCAAATGTGAACATGACTTTTATATGGAATTTAGTTTGTCTGTTTGGTTTTTAACAAAGATCTCTATCATGTTTCTGTTGCCTATAAATTAAGTTGCTTTTCTGGGGTGCTTTTTCTTAGTGTTTTTGCGCTCTGCTCCCCCTGCTGCTTTTTAATAGTCAATGCATACGTAACATATACTACAGCTTTCTGTGACTGCTGATATATTTTCTTCCGGGCAAGAGTGGTCCTGGAATGAATATAGAATGTTCATAGAAGTGGCTAAATCTTAAGATTTTTCAGCATTACATGATTATAAGATAGCTCAGAACAGAAATAAATGTTTAATTTTGCTGAGAAGGAAGGTGAAACTAGTTGGAAAAGGCATTTTAATTTTATGAAGAGCAAATAGCAAATAACAGTCATTTACTTCAAAATATTAAAACTTATTGACATAGTCATACAGAGTTGTTGAGAGTTAATCAGCATACCTAAAGGAAAACTCTAAATTTTAAAAGAAAACATCTTTCGTAAATATAGAAATTCAGCTTACTGATG